GCATTGCGGTTGCCGCGAGGGGGGTTGTATTGGCACGGCGGTCGGGAGCGAGGTGAGCGTGCTTGGTTGGAGAGATGTGGTGCTTGCCTGGACAGGTAATTTTCTGCGTGAAGGAGGTGTGCCTCTATTTGTCTAATGGGCAGCAGACTGGATTGAGCTTGGAGAGTCAGGGCGATCGGGTTGTAATCCGGCTGATCACGTAAGCCATCGAGTAAGAACTGTGCAGCGGTGCCTTTGTCCTGTATACCGGGGTAGTTGGCGGCTCGCATCCGGATCCGTATGTTCTTGTGCAGTGTAATGTATTCGAGCATAGGTGTTCCGGGTTTCAGGGCGCTCTCGCGAGCGAGGGCGCTCAGGAGATAAGGGGCATTGCTGGGGTTGGCGGTGGTGATCTCGTAGAGTCTGTTGCACAAGTCGTGAGGAGCGAGAGGAAGGTCTGCGTCGGAGAGGAGAGATCGATCTTCTTCGGAGAGGCTGTGGAATATAAGTGCCAGGGCAAAGGGGTTTTGCGGGTGAAGGGGTGAAGGGGCGGATGTCTGCCAGTTCGGTGGAGAGGGGGGGTTGGTGTCCAGATGTTCGTCACAATTGTTGATACAGGCTACGAGGACTAGGTTGTTGTGCCAGTAGCTGAAATTGGTGAGTGTCAGTGGAGTGACGGAGATGCGTGGGCTATCGGGCGTGGGAGAGAGATCCATGTTAGGGGGTGGTTGGTGGGAGGTGTTGGCGTTGTGGGGGGGTAGTAGGTCAGGGATGGCGGAAGGAAGTCTCAGGGGGAGGAATAGTTGACGTGTGGGAGGGGTGGATCGGCCGGGGCCGGATGGGGTGTTTGTGTGATCGATGATCGGCCGTGGGCCGGTTGGGGTGTTTGTGTGATATGATGATCGGACGTGGGCCGGTAGGGGTGCTTGTGTGAGGTGATGATCGGCCGTGGGACGGTTGGATGACGATTGATGGAAAGGGGATGAGGAGGGTGGGCAGTGGAAGCGGAGAAGGAAAAGGGCCTATAACCTGTAGGAGAGACTCAAGACCTTAGTCATGTTTACTGAGGGAAGGAGC